ACTCAAATTCCAAAGGCATCGCAAGGAACATTGGCAAATTGCGGAGAAAACCATTGACTACCTGAACCTTATCTTTGACGCAACTCTCGATGAAACAAACGTGCTTGCAAAGGTCCTCCTTCGTCCATATGGAAAGGAGGTTCACGTCCATCTCGCAGCCCGGGATATGGCTCCTCATTTATACGGAATTTCCACTGTGCATGGCTTTGTGCATGTGGTCGTCATGCAACTCCTGGAGCAAGGTTGGATCACCCTATTCGATTATCGTCATAATCGGCACCCGAATGGTATCCAAGGAGACCACAAGACTCGTCTGTAGCAACGACTGGAGGAGATTCTGGAATGCTTGGAAGCTGAGGGAATGGTTCATGGAGACTTTCGAATGGCGAATATCATGCTAAAGATAGGGGAGGAGGAAAAAGCGATGCTAATAGACTTTGATTGGGCCGGAAGAGGAGGGGAAGTAAAGTATCCCATCACTCGCAGCGATGGCCTCAAGTACCCTGGAGAGCCGGGAGGGCCTATTTCGGCGGGAGATGATTGCCTATTGTTTGAAAAGTGGCGTAACGAGCTATGACCAATTGCAGTGTTCCGGTTCCCCATTTGTGTATCCCCACTACTGTGTATCCCCACTACTGTTGTATCACTACGTCCCGTAATCACAGCCACTTGAAGGTGAAAACGACATAATTTATCTTTTGACTATATTTCGGAATTCCTGACCTACTAGGTCAGGTCTTGCGTTCCATAATTGTACGAAAAGGCGTAAATTCTGTGTGTTGATTGGTATTGATATATCATTTTTGCTGTCCAACGCCTTAGCTTTGTTCCTCTCACCGCATTAGGTCGATGAGGTCATAGGATGCAGCTGCGTCGTGGTCAAGGACTATGGAGCAGACGGCGAGGGCATGCACGTTCTCTTGGAATACTTCAGGACACGCTCGTAATGACCGGACCTTTGGATTGTATTCGCAGGCATGTCTTTGCCCGCCTTCTCCCCTCCAGTGATGACAGAAAGACTCCCTCTACCAAATTTTCGAGAGGATAATGGTCTATCCGGAATCATTATGTTTTTCTGAGCCATTTCTATTCACACTTCTGACATTTTCGCTCAACCGTTTACTTTTGCAGATGACAGCGTCCTGTATAGGATCGCTTTGCCTTATACATTGTAGCCAACGACATGAATTGACACCGTCATCTCCCACTGAGTGCTAGACCTGAGGACATCGTATAAGGGCTCCTCTCACTACCATGCTGAGATGAACTGGTATTTTGAGTGATCCTTACGGTTTTTATCACGACATTCTATCTTCAGTTTTAGGCTCAATACTAGTATGCTTCATCTCCTGCTTAGGGCTACCTCATCTTGTACCTTGTCATGTTTTGGTTTGAGTGGATTAGGCAAGACGTCCAAATAATGTGAGCGGTCATTGGGCCGTGATCGGTATCTAGCGAGACACTGGGGATCACTTGTACACTGTTCTCCATAGCGTTGTGAATCCAGTTTTGCCTTAGTT